GCGACTATACAGGACCAATAGTGAGAGTATGAATAACCATGCTAAACTAGGTATGCGACCATACAGAGACAATAATGAGAGTATGAACAACCATGCTACACTAGGTATTCAACCACCGCACACTTGTCGCGTGTTGCGGTGGGCACACTACGGTGTTGCACGATGTGCAATTGTAGTCAAAGCGGCACTAATTAAGATCCTGTACAGTGACGACTCAAACATAAGTATAGTCCTGCAGTGGTACACTCTATTATACCCTGTTGCTAAGCTGCTGCTATAGTTATAGACCCTAATATACCCTGTTGCTATAGTTATACACCCTATTATACCCAGTTGCTAAGCTGCTGCTATAGTTATAGACCCTAGCATACCCTGTTGCTAAGCTGCTGCTATAGTTATAGACCCTAGTATAACCTGTTGCTAAGCTGCTGCTAGAGTGGTACACCCTATTATACCCTGTTGCTAAGCTGCTGCTATAGTTATAGACCCTAGTATACCCTGTTGCTAAGCTGATGCTATAGTTATAGACCTTAGTATACCCAGTTGCTAAGCTGCTGCTATATTTATAGACCCTAGTATACCCTGTTGCTAAGCTGCTGCTAGAGTGGTACACCCTATTATACCCTGTTGCTAAGCTGCTGCTATAGTTATAGACCCTAGTATACCCTGTTGCTATAGTTATAGACCTTAGTATACCCAGTTGCTAAGCTGCTGCTATATTTATAGACCCTAGTATACCCTGTTGCTAAGCTGCTGCTATAGTTATAGACCCTATTATACCCTGTTGCTAAGCTGCTGCTAGAGTGGTACACTCTATTATACCCGTTGCTAAGCTGCTGCTAGAGTGGTACAACCTATTATACCCTGGAGTGGTACACGCAGCCAGTGCACAACGACGGTATGAGAACTGGTTGTGATTTACGATACTGGCTTATTCCAGCAGTATGAGTTGTGAAAGGCAACAGTAGTAGGCACACTGTTCGTAATTTTGGCTCAGAATCATCAGTAACCGATATCTTGCCAAGCTCACGCTACAAACTTCGGGTTGCAAAGTTCTAGGGATTTAGGGATTAGGGTTGTAGGGTTATTTAGGATTCATTGGCTCATCTCATAAAGCCAGTCAACCCGTGGTAGTTAAAAGGTTCGGTTGGTCGCTTGCAGACAGTGCATGGCATTGGCAGCGACGTACACATTCGTTGTCGTAAAACTCGCAGACGATTGTTTTTCCCAAATGCCACGCTTAAAAGTTCAGGCACTCACAAACTATAATGCGATATTGTTTATATATATCTATGGCATTTCTTATAAGTACACTATGCAATAGGGCGGGACCGATTTAAAAGGTCCAGGGGTCTAGGGTATAGGCTAAAACCCTAACCCCAGAACCCTTACTTCGGTTCGTGGCCTGTTCGCTCACACAGATATAAAGCACAAGGTACGCGGATAGACCCACGAAGCAGTCATTTAAGATACGCAATAGCGGTGACAGACCGAATGTTCATTCATAGTTTGTCACAATCACGTGTGATACCATGGGTTAAGGCAGCGTTACGCATCATATCTTGCCATACACACCCGCCACACAGCCAGAGACTAAGGAACACATACACCATCTATCTTAAGATACACATCATCGCAATAGCAGAATACTGCTTAAGCAACACACACACCACCACATCTCATACCCCCTCAATGCAGTCATCGGCTAATATACACAAACATTCCCTATCTTAACATATGCCATCACCATAGCAACGCACACCACACCACATCTCACACACCTTCAACACAGGAGGCAGACGGTTAGCCGCAAAGCCGAAGAACAAGCCGCTGAACAATGGGAAGTAAGATACACGCCTGTGAGACTCAATGGGCAAGCAAGCCATCGTAGTCTACTGGTTGTTGTTGGTATACGTATTGGTGCGCAAAGGCCAACTAGGCACACAAGTCAGGCGTCACACAAACTTAATCCGCACATACGTACATACATACCCAAGCACTGAGAGTCCACTGGCATCTGAACATACAGCACAGACAATACATTTATGCACTCTGTTATATGTTCGAGTACATACGGTATCATACATGCATACCCACAAAGGAGGTAACCTTTTCTCATAACCCCGCAGGTCCGAAGTATATTCTTACAGGCACTTAAGCATACAAATACGCAACGAAACATATACACACATATATGTAGACTTCTCTGTATGATCCTTTTATTAGCCACGTTGCCGATGCGCAACTCATGCGAGCGCTACACATAAACACTCGCAGGCCCTGGCATGCACTTAAGGGAAAACACCACACATACAGGGCACGCCAATATACCTGGTGTAGTGGTACTGTGCAACACTCGGGGTACTTCATGGATACAGTCACAGGAGACACGCATGGTATAATGGGGGATAAGATAAGCACTGATAGGTGTATAACATAGGCCGGCAGGGTGGGTTGGAATAGGCCATGTTTGTACCATGGTAGCATAGATGAGGTAAATATGTGTCGTTAACAAACAAGAGTTTATATGATGTCACATCGCACAGGTATCCGCCATGTATATATTATATATATATATATACCCGCCCCCCCCCCCACCCC